TATATATATATATATATATATACATGTGTGTGTGTGTATATACGGGTATTTATCTAGTTCCATGTGGTTGTGTTTAGGCGCAAGCGACATGCGCAGTCCCCCTGCTGCAGTGATTGTGAAGCAGCTATAGCTATGTGGCTCTGGTGCGTTGTGTGTGTGTGTGTGTGTGATTGTGTGTCTGCCAGCCCCACACAAATCGCTGCTGGTCCCTTCGTCCTGTATGTTTTTTTTTTTGTTTTTCTTTGTACTCTTTCAATTTTTTTTCTCTTCTGTGTGCGCGTGCGTGCTTCATTGAGTGCCGTGCAGGTAAGAGGAGCAACGCGTGTGTGCGACTGTGACATACGCAACAGCAACACGAGCGAGAAACAAAGCCGACAGCAGCCGACAGTGAAGAACAGATCGTTTAGGAAGTAACACCCGGTGCAACAGCAGCCGGCGTAGGAAGGTATATATACGCACAAGCCTACAGCGGCACGAGAGAAGTGGGCGGAGGGTGAACACGCAAGGGAGAAGCAAAGCGAGCAATAAAAAAAAAAAGAGGAAGGAAGGAAGCGAGAATCCAGCAGGCATGACAACTGCTGTTGCAAGTCCGATCGCCGCCACTCCTGCCGTGACGGGCGGTCACGGCGCTGCCGCGCTCAGCCTCTACGAGGAGCACGAGCGGCTGACAAAGAGCATCCAGAACCTTGAGCTCAAGACGATGATCTGCAGGACCGAGACGCACCACCTCAAGAAGGAGGAGAGCGCGGCGAAGCAGGAGGTGAAGCGGATTCAGGCGGTGCCGCTCGTCCTTGGCAGCTTTGTAGAGGCCGTCGACGCCGGGCGTGGCATCGTTGGTGGCAGCTCCAGCAGCAACTTCTACGTGCGCATCCTCAGCACGCTGGACAAGGAGCAGCTGAAGCCGGGGGCGAGCGTCGGCCTGCACAAGGGCAGCAACGCGTGCGTGCAGCTTCTCCCCAACGAGACGGACTCCGCCATTCACATCTTGCAGAAGGAGGAGAAGCCGAGCGTGACGTACAGCGAGGTTGGCGGCCTCGATATGCAGAAGCAAGAGATTCGAGAGGCGGTGGAGCTGCCGCTCACGCACGCGTCGCTCTACGACCAGATCGGCATCGACCCCCCGCGCGGCGTGCTGCTGTACGGCCCGCCCGGCACCGGCAAGACGATGCTCGTCAAGGCGGTGGCGCACCACACAAATGCCTCTTTCATCAGCGTTGTCGGCTCCGAGTTCGTGCAGAAGTACCTTGGCGAGGGCCCGCGCAAGGTGCGCGACGTGTTCCGCCTGGCGCGTGAGAACGCGCCGTCGATCATCTTCATCGACGAGGTCGACAGCATCGCGACGAAGCGCTTCGACGCGCAGACGGGCGCCGATCGCGAGGTGCAGCGTGTGCTGGTCGAGCTGCTCACGCAGATGGACGGCTTCGACCAGACCACCAACGTGAAAGTCATCATGGCGACGAACCGCTGGGACACGCTCGACCCCGCGCTGCTGCGCCCCGGCCGGCTGGACCGCAAGATCGAGTTCCCGTACCCCGACCGCCGGCAGAAGCGGCTCGTGTTTCAGGTGTGCACGAGCAAGATGAACCTCTCGCCGGAGGTGGACCTCGAGGAGTTTGTCACACGCGCGGAGAAACTCACCGGCGCCGACATCCGCGCCATCTGCCAGGAGGCGGGCATGCTCGCGGTGCGCAAGAACCGCTACGTCGTGCTGCCAAAGGACCTCGAGAGCGCGTACCGCACTGTCATTCGCAAGATGGGCGACGAGCGCTACGACTTCTACTCGTAGAAGTGGGATGGGCCAGAGAGCGTGCAGGGGGGCGGGGGTAAAAGGGGGCGGTGGTGCGAACGAGGAACTCAGCAGAGAGAGAGAGA